CTTCGGTGTTTATGTCTGCCGCATAGGCAACCAGTTGCATGTTCGGAGGCTAAAAAGTGGCATCTTTGGGTCTCTCTCGGCGGCGGTTGGCCATTTTCTCACCTGCGGCGCTCAAAGGCGACCTCGACCTGTCTCAAGCTAAAACAAGCCGATATGTTCTGTTTATATGTATTCTGTATAAATACGTATATCTGTATGCCTTTGGAAGGCTGAGAGGCTCCGCTGTATTATTTATTGACATTCAGTGTGGCAATAGCTGGCCGCAGTGGGCCATGTTTTATGTCTCTATATTCTAAAATTGCAAAGATTTGTATCAATTGATAGTGCAGAACAGGACGGAGAACTTGGTCAGCAATTGAAAGGCAACATGCAATCGCGCTTGTCTGCCAGCGGCTTTTGTCAAATTGAAGGTAGCTTCTATGTGTGCCCACAACATACTGTAACTATACCCATAACGTGGGGATCCGGGGGAATTGCCAGAAAGCCAGCCGAAGTCAGGGCACCTTGACAAGCCTAGGCACGTCTTCCGCCGGCAATTGGCCAGAGATGTTGGCCCAGAGATGCTCGAAGTCGGGCTAACTTCGTGGCTTGGCTGATTGTTTTCCCCGCAATTTGGTCTTCTATTTCTTAGATTCTTAATGCGGGCTATACCCTTGCCTCAGGTTACTTAGTTAGAAAGGCATATTATGCAAATTTACGTTAACCAAAAAAGTGTCTTCTACTAATTAAAATTAAAATAAAAAATAACATATCTTTAAAATGATCAATTTTTAAGAAATAACATTGTTAGGGCTAGTACTCAACCCAACAAAAAATCGTCCAAAACAAAAAACTTCATATAAAAAACGTTAAGAAATTTCATTTCATATGAAGTTCTTTGTTTTGGACGACTTTTTGTTGGGTTGAGTACTAGCTCTTAACAATGAAAAATTTTAACTTAAATGTCAAATGTGGGTGCTAACTGGCAATTTAATCTCTAGTCCTAAAAAAGGGTATCTGCAAATCCTCTCGCTTTATGACCAATAAACCTATTTGATTTCATTTGTTGTATTTTTGACGAATTTCATGGGTAGTCAGAATGCGCGGAATTAATTAAACGGCTTAAATAAGATGTACTAACAATTTGTTGCTAATGTGCCAATCAATCGCCTCTGCCCAAAAAGTTCATCAGCATCAGTTGAGGAGCCAAAGAACAAGGAGTGTGCATTCGCAAATTAACTTTTGCATCATCATCATCATCAACAAGTCCCCGCGAATCGTGCATGAAAACATCTCCGAAGAATCAAATGAATTCGGATCTGCCCAAAAGAAACAAAAAGAGAAACGAAAATATTGTAATTTCAATATTAAATTAATGTTGGCAACTCTTGGTTGTTGTTGTTGTTTGTTGTTGCTGGTGTTGCAGCATGTGGCGTGCCACAAAATAATTTGCGAATCCAAAACAAAGTGGGTCGTTCAATGCATGGCTGTGGGTGTCTAATAAAAGTTTATTTCAAATCGAAGGGAATAAATGTTTCACAAAAACATTAGAAATTAAGAGATTTGTTAACCAGTTAAGTTTTTTTTGAGAACGCAAGGCATAGAGGAAAACAGGGATTTAGATTTAGTGGTAAAAATACATTTATTATGACATTGTCGCATGATTAAATACAAGAATGAAAGCCAAACAAATTAAAATAAGTATTGTATGAGTCAAATTTAAATAAAAATCTTTTTCGAAGCAAATAAATTTTAAAATAATCTAAAAATTCAGAGTTGCTTAAATAAATATTTTATTAAATGGAATAGATAAAGTAACCATTGAGTAACCAAAGAAATTTAAACCCATTCTTTCTTATTTATTAATTTTCTGCTAAATTGTTAGTTGAATATTTCTTTTTGATTAAAAGCAAAACATTTAACAATTTTGTCCCGCTTTTCCCATGGATAAGCCGAATGCCTTTTACTTCCACTCACTCCATTAAAATGAAAACCCCCAGATTCCGCCCCTTTTGGGGTTCTTCCCAGGCGTTAAGCGATACCAAAAGTTCATCCATCGAGAGGTGTGCTAAGCGATAGCAAAAGCCATTTCCCATAATCGCAAGGCCCCCGAACAACAACAACAATAACAACAGCAGCAGCAGCAACAACATCATCGAACGACAACGACAACACGAATTTCTATGGCATCAGGGTAACAATTTTAAGGCTTGTCTCTCTTATGAAATAAGACAGCCCAGCAGAAATTTTTAAATAATTCACAAGCGTGATTGGACACGCTTCGAGTATAGTATAGTATCTTTTAAAAATAAAGAAACCAAAGGGGTAAGGTAAACAAAAACTGCCTGCTTAATTTGCTCTACTCATGCAAACTCTCCTCTCGATGAGCCGAAGATGTCTCTGCGATTTATGGCCAAATGTCAGCTAGCTGGTCTAGTTAAAGTACACTAATTAGTCAGATAGCTGAACATGGCAGACACCTGAACATGTCAAGGCATTTGTCTGGGGTGCCCCCAACCCCCAACCCACAACCCCTAACCCCCTGAACCTCATTCTAACCCCCCGACTAGAGAGTCAAAGCGATTGCAGCCGACAGCCATTTAAGGAGCCACTCGAGGTCAGTCTGTAAAAAAAAAACACAAAACAAAGCAAAACGTATCGATGACTAACCAATAGACTGGCCACAGGTGAGTGCGATCTATGATCTGCACTCAGTGTTGGGAAAGGTACTGTGTTTTTTTACCTAGGTAAGGTAAAAGGTATTGTCAAAAATAAATACCTAGGTAAGGTAAAGGTACTTAAATTTCCCAGTACCTAGGTAAAGGTAAAAGGTATTTATAAGGTATTTTTTATTTTTTATAATTTTTTTGTTTTGTTCAATGTAATCATTTAAACTTAAAATAAGACTAGTTTTCAGTTTTTAGTCGTCTTAATCAAACAATATCTTTTCATTTCATTTAAATTTAAATGTTTTAATTTTGTGCATATATTTTTAAACCACGCGGCATGAATAATTTTATGCACGTATCACTTCATTAATGTATTTATGAAACCCTCATGTACATATTTGGCGCGCAAAAATTCCGTATGTAGAAACATTGACTATATATTGTGCATATGCATGTATATGCCGTTTGTTTACGTACATACGGCATTTTTGCGCGCCAAATACACTTTGGTTTCATAAATAAATTGATGTAGTGATGGGAACATACATACGTGCACAAAATTATATAAGGGGGATTCCCTAAACTGTTGAATTGCTGAATTGTTGAATTTTGGTCAGCTGTTAATCAGCTGTTCCATACAAAGTCAACTTTCAGAAATTTCAGCAATTCATCAGCCTCGGGGCTGCTGAAAATTTTGTTGAATTGCTGAAAAGCCAGAGTTGTCGCCTTTTTTTAAAAGTCGTGGCAACTCTGTAACATTTTAGTATCACCAGTACGCATTATTTATTTTAAAATCAACTTAGAATGCATATTTGTGGTTCTTTTTACCTTGGTAACACTTTTAGACAGTAACTAGCAATAATAAATCAAATTTTACATGCTTTAAGTTCCGTGAAATTTTTCAACAAATAACAGCTGTTTAAAAATTCAACAGGAACCATTTTGGGACGTTCCCTTAATTGCTGAAATTTTCTGTTGAATTTTCAACAATTCAGCAATTCAACAGTTTAGGGAATCCCCCTATAAAAAAAAACTGCGATTAGTTTTAACTTCACAAAACAAACAATAGAACGGCTGAATTATTAATGCTGCGTTCCGACTATTACAATTCTGAAACGAAACGATACAATGAAACGATACTACAGTGTCGTAGTCAGATTTGGCTATTTTAAATCAGAGCAATGTTTAATACCTATGTAAGTACCTTAATAATTCCAAAGGTATATAAAAATAAATACCTAGGTAAGGTAAAAGGTACTCAATTATTTGTATACCTAGGTAAGGTAAAAGGTACCACTAAATTGTACCTAGGTACGTACCTAGGTAAAAGTATCTAGGTATGTCCCAACACTGTCTGCACTGCGATAAAGAAAATAGTGTATCTAGATATTCTAACAAATACATACACTTTGTAATAAAATGTAATAATATATATAATCAAATGTTTCTGGTTAAAAAATTATTTTTTTTACCTTTCTGCCAACTTCTAAATTCTTATAATAATCGAATGTATTATAATAATCTTTCTGCTCAATAAAACATTTTAGGTTTCTGCTTCAATAATACTAACTCTCTAAGAAAACTGCCAATAAGAAGTTATATGGTTTTCCAAGTGTAAGCAACTGGTCGCTGATCTGAGCGGGTCGCCAGCTTCCTGCTGCTAACACAGACATCATCGGCCAAAAGCAACAAAGTTCAGTTCCAATAGAGCAGCAATTGAATGCGAAATTTATTGCCAGCGATCGATCGCTCGAATCGAATTGAATCGCGGATTCAGAACTGTATCGAATATCGTATTGTTTGATTTCGGTTTTTTTTTGTAATTTTTTTGTTTGTTCACAGTTTGCCGGGCCTGCTTCCATTTGATATAGCAGCCAAAGGCCCAAAGTGCAGCGACACAGACGCTTGTTCGCAATTATCGGCTCGCTAATGGAGCATTGTGAGCATGATCATAAATTTTGATCGTCCACTTCCTTATGGCAGACTAGCCCATGACTCAGTCCAGTGAGGATCCCATTGTCTAAGATATCTGGATTCCAAGGGCATCGAGTGTTACACTTATGGGAAGGAATTCAATTGAAAATACTCCCACACAAAAGGCTCTTCCTTAATTGTCTAAAAATCATAGTCATGGAAAAATTAATTGGATCAATAGGTTTTATTTAGAAAGGCAAGCCAAAAGAACTTACATTCTAATTTTGAATGATTTTTTAAGCGATATTATAATATTCATTTTCTTTTCTGCAATAATTTCTTCTCCAGCTAAACCGTTTATGATTTTTTAAGAAATAAATTCTAAAATATCATTCAATATTAAACTTAAAAAATATTTCATTAATATTAACAACTCACATTCAGAATGTCTCTCATTTTAAAGAAAATTCACCTTGACCTGATTCAAGGGATCTACATAATCCGGATGCTAGAAAATATACAAATGGTCAATGCTCTGCAATTAATGCTCTCCTCCAATTAAAACCCACCGTTAGGATACCCTGCCTGATCTTGGTCCCCTTCACATTAATCACCATGTGGCGACCTGTGCCCTTGGAACAGCATCCAATTGAGTTGATCACAAACTCATCGGTTATTTCCTCGCAATCGCTCAAATCAATAGTATTCAGCTGCAGGCACTTTCGTACCATCCTCATCATTCCTGTGTCCATCACCCGACCACACCAGATCAAACCAAATCGCTCTAGCTGATTGAGATCGTTGAAGAACTTAAAGTGATCGTCGTCCAGGACATCGTTGTTGCTAAACCTCAGATCCTTGAGACTACTTAACTGTCCCAAGCACCGCGCATGCTCATTGGTGATCAGAAACTGACCGGATAAATGCAGATGGGTCAGTTTGTTGCCCTTGTTCTCCGCCAGAACAGTAAGAAATCCGATATTCAGCTCATTGGAGGTCATCCAGGTTTTCAGGGTGCATCGCTCCAGTTTGGGCAGCTGGGCAATCACCTCGAAGTTCGTATCGCAGCCAGAGAAGAAAAGCTCTACCAAGTCAGTACAATTCTCAGCTATTTTTTGGTAAAGGCTCTGGCTCATCACCTCGAAGCAACAGTCATCGAGGTCCAGAGTACGCAGAGATTTGAGGGGTATGCCAAATTCCACCGAGTTCCACAACAGACAGTCTCGAAGAATCAAGGTCTTAAGATTGGGAAAACCGCACAGGTTTTTGCCTTTGAAATAAACTTTACTTTAGACATAGGATATAACATCTTTTCAAATTCCAAAAAACTTTTTTTAAATTTATAATAATGGAATCCTTAGGCGATACTTACCCGTATAGCAGCCGTTAACCAATTCAAAGGACTCCAGCTCCTGGTTGGATTGCAGATCAAAGTTAAGCACATCCTCTGCGTCCAGGCACTCAATAGTAACCTTTTTCAAGTGCGTCATTTTGGACATAATGGTTCGATAGTGGAACTCATCGGTGGCATTCGAGTAAGTGATCTCCTCCAGATTCGGACAGTACTCCATTACGAACTCCATTATCAGTGATTCCTTCTGGAAGGAGGCGCAGTCCACTAGAAGGACTCGGATAAAAGGTCCAGCCACCTTGAAGAACCTGATCATCTGCGGCAGAGGCATCGTCTCCAGACTGTCGATGTCCAGGAAATTTCGCTGTGCCCTCGCCCAGCCCTCGAAGGCCAATCGAAACTTGGGTGCCAAACAGGCAAACAGGACTTTATCGGTTATTTTGGGCAGGAATTCGAGAACCAGTCGGATGATGTCCTCCGGCAGATCCAACAGACTTGTATTGCATGGCGGCGGAGCCGGAGGATCAGTTGTTGGGGCTCGAACCGGACGAACAGCATGAGCAGGAGAAGCGGATTTCACTAATCTCGATTGCGTTTTTGGCTTAGGCATTTTTAAGCTTATTTTGCTTTTACGAGAATTTTGATTAATTCATTTTTGACACTGCCCTGGTTGGTGTGACGGAAAATTAAGGAAAATCATGCTTGAGGTATGATAGGTATAAAATAATTCCCATGGGTCCAGGCACTTCCTACGGCTGACAGTGACCGCCAGCAGTTTACGGCCGACAGCTGCGGGCAATTTCGCGCATTCCTCCATTATTCACCCTATAAACAAGTTTTCTTTTTGTTTGACAACAATTAATTGCATAATTGCCTGAATAAATGCATAAATCAATTGCTGTGATTGAGAAGTCGCCAAATGCTATGTATATGCTATACATACTTATTTATTTATTTATTTTTACCGGATATGTTTGAAGAATTAAGTTTCGGTTTTTATATGTGTACCTTTTGCAATTCGCATTGTTTATTGTTAAAGTAAACAACTTAGGCATAATGGTAATGCCCTACAATTATGGAAAGTAAAACAAAATTGATATTAAAACGGGGAAATTGTTTTTAAATATGATTTATAAGCAGTATCATTAGGCTGCACTAACATTAATATAATACGGAACCCATTTCATAAACTTTTGCTTTGTCTTAAATGAGATCAACACTATTAACACTGATTAATTTTAGGTAAATAATGCCGCAATATGTATATTGTATAATTATATTATTAACATATTAAACATATTCAATGGCAATTGCTAACATTGTGCTGCAAAATTGTTTAAGTTTCTATGATAAAGTTTTATGTTTTCAAGATTGTTGTTATTGTTATAAATAACTTATTACCGTTACATTATTGGATTAAATATATGAAACTTATTTCTAAAACATAAATTTGATTTAGAGACTTAGTATTTCTAATTCCAAAGTGTATTTTGAAACTATGCCAATCAATTCAAGATTATGTTTGTCGGAAACCTAGATCCAATGTGTCAATTGCATGGTGCCATCGTGTGTCCTCTGAGTGTCCATAATGCTCATTTGACGCACCAAACGCTTCATTGAAGGTCGATGAATAGGTCGAACACTTCCACTGGCCGTTGTATCCAAGGGTGTGCGCTCATCAATCCTTGGGGTCGGTTCCCGAACCCGTCGACTGTCCCTTAACTCCAGTTCCACTTCGGAAGCATTATTGGAGGATCCAGCCAGAACATCTAGGTTTTCGTAAGATGCTGGTTGGGATAAGACATCCCTAGAGAGTTACAAAAATATATTTTAAACTATTATATTCTGTAAATAGCGCATAAATTAGACTTACGGTTTTTGAGCGCAACTACAGCAATCTTTGAACTGCCAGTTCTTGCCGAATTCCTCGCCCTCCTCTATGGTCTGCGGCAGTCGATGATGCAGTGTCTCCGGCAACCGCAGTCCAGTCATGCCGCCCAGCATCGAAACAAAGCCCATTATGACCAAGGGAAGCTTAAGATTGTCCTTTCCCAAGTAGGTTACAAATGGTATGACAATAAGGCCCAATCCTCCGATATAACTAGAAGCACCAATGCCAATGCCTCGAACCTGAGTGGGATATAGTTCCCCGGCAAAGGGATAAATGATCAGGAAGGAGGCGGATAGCAAGGCTTTGGATATTAGATACAGCACAAGAGTTTCATCTACGGCATCATCGGGTAGCATTACAGTAATCACACAAGCCACGCCGCTGTAAGAGAAATGATAGTTTAAAATTATATGAACATAAAACATAGATAACCCAAAGCTTACCCCAGTATCATGGACAAGCTCAAAGGCCACCTTCTGCCCCAGGTGTCCATGAAGTACCAGCAGCACAAGTAACTGGGCAACTCCACAACAGCCGACAAAAAGAAGCTCACATACTGATTGGTGCCCAGCGAGGGTCCGTAGTAACTGAGGCCCAGATAGACCGTCTCATTGGCGAACCAACTCAGTGTGATCAGAATGGTCTTCAATCGCATATTGGGTGTCCGGCAGAGATCCATTAGCCCCACATTGGCTATCTTTTTCTTCTGCTTCTTCATCTTATCCCGCCGTATTTGAGCCTCCAATTTGAGATGCACAGCCTCCGGAAATTGCCTTCCATTAACCTTGGCCATGCGCTCGAGAATCTTGAGAGCTTCCTCCAAGCGGCCGCGCATTAAAAGCCATCTCGGTGATTCCGGCATTACGAACATGTACAGGAAATAGGCGTAAAAGGGCAGGGAGGTGATATAGGACAGACGCACCCAATCTCTTTCCAAATAGGTAACAGCGGACAGAAGCATTATACCCGAAGTGTAGAAGGTACATGTCATCACCGTCACAAAGGATCGATAATTCTCACCCACGAGTTCAAGAGCTGCAAAGTTGAAAAGATAAGTTAGCGACATGGAAGGCTATCCAAACACTATACTCACATATTATAAAGGGTATCTGATAGACAGCTGGAATGGTCAGACCCACAATGACTCGACTGCCTGCCCAAGTCCAGAAATCCTTGCTCAGCGAAGTCATCAGACTTCCAGCCAGCAAAGTGGCCAGGCAGATGAAGTAGGAAAGCCTTCGTCCAGCGCGATCATTAAGCAATCCAAATAGATAAACTCCCACGGGACCGCCGGTATTGAGGGCAGCCAAACCAATCGTGGGATATATATCCTGATCGCACACTAAATCGAACTGAAATTTAAGGGTTTAAAAGATTTTAGGTTTTCCAGAATTTAACTCCTGGCTGAAGAGAGTACATCATGCTTGGGAAATGAATCAAGCGTCTCCTAGATGAAGGACTATGCGATTTGAAATGAACACGTTATCTTCTGGGACTGCGCACATCGATCACAATGGAGGACCAGACGACGCTCGTGTTGTACTCCCATCCCTGACTGCACTTGACTTGAGGCCAACTGCTGTTCATTTCCATGGTGGTCAAGTCCTCCTCTTCAAGCAGTTGCGTCCAATTGACTGCGTAAGTATAGCATTTACTGTAGACCAGTTCGTCATTCTCCTTCAAATAAAATGAAGTACTTTAGTTAGAAATGATATCAGTTATGTATATAAATATGAACTTAAAAACCCATTCGTTTTTTCTTAGACAAACTAAAAAATCACTTTAAATCAGGAACCGAAAATAATGACTATTTTTTTTAAGTAAAAAATAAAAATCTCCATTTTGTAAGCGAGAAAAAATATCGCTCAGATATAATGATTATTTTGTGAGTGATATTATTTTGCTTAGAAATATCACTCAAAGTTAGATTGCAGGCGTCCTACGCGGAATTTTACAAATATTTAAATGTGCTTTTTTAGGTAGATTTTTATTTTTTCACTTATAATGATTACGGTTCCTGCTTTAAGTTTCAACAGACATCTGTTTATTTTCCCATTACCCCCTTTGATTACTCATCTAACTACCCTCGTATCGACCCTTCACCTCCGACAACGCACAATCAATGGCCTGACTTGATTGCCTTACCCCAAGCACTCATATGGCTGCAATTACTCACCACTTCCTTGGGTATGGCCAGCGATTTTCGCTGCTCCAGCGGCAGGTCGAGCAGCTCCGGGATACGACACCAATAGTCATCCGGAGTATCAGCCATAAATAACTGGTTAAAGGCACAAAAGCCGCACGGAATGCAGGCGGGCAGGCAAATGCCGAAGACCAAGAGCTTCTGGTATTTCCCAAACTCGCCAATGGTGGGCAGAAGGTCGTCCAGATCGAAGGCCTCCTGCAAAGAGACCAAAGATTCTGGAAACACTAAGAACTACATCTTACAGATACGCACATCCACCGACGGCTGGGACTCTGGCTTCTGGCGTTGTCGCAACTCCGAGAGTTCATCGTATTCGTCCCCATCGCTGTCCACAATATCTGACATGGATGCGCCGCTAGACAAACTCTGAGCTGAAAATGTTTATTCGCACTGCCTGCTTTCGCCAGCTCGCGGAAGCCGTAGAAAGATCTTACAACTGTCAGTTGACTAGGGTTGAAACAAACAAAGAGCTAGTTCTGTCGATAGAAAGAAGGGTTCCACACAGGGCGCCGTTTCATAATTTATAGTTTTGTTTATTCTTTAGTCGCAAGTTAGATTTAAATAGTTTAAACTAAAGTATTTAAAATATTACACGTGAATTCAATCCTGCTCGAATTACGGCTAAGACGAGCCACTAATTACAGTTGTTAGGCTTTGATATTACAAGTAGAGAACGGGGTTTAAAGTACTTCGTTTTGGGGCTCAGTACTTTTCGTAGGGCTTTCAGTTTTTTCTTCGTTTTTTTTTTTTGGAATCGTTGCTAGAGCTGGGAAATGGACATTGCTAAACTTTACGCCTAAAGATTAACAGAACGGTGAACTATACAAAAGATGCTTCAAGTCACTGTAACTCCAACTCGATTGCTGCTTACTGCTTAAAGATTATTGCGCGCTTCGTTACTCCACGGTTCTTGCCTGATACAAATATATGTTATTGTACACATATCAATCGTAATTATAATAAACAGAAAACTGTCTGTGCCGGGCGCACAGCGCAGAAATCACACACACATTAGGCTTAAGTGTAAATTTGTGGCTACACATACAAAAATACATTCGCACGGGCTCCTTCTTATTGAATTTTGCTGTTTAATCCACCTTGACCACACTGTAGATCTTGCGGATGAACCAGAAGCACGCAAAGAACCCAATGGTTCCGGTCAGCAAGAAAAACAGGAATACCATGATGGCCGTGTAGCCGAAATACAGGAAAGTCGAGGCGCTGTCCTTGATCGAGAGCTTCGTCACAAAGTAATGGCAGCAGTAGATGAACAAGTAGACAGCAGTAAAACCGGACGTTAAGAAGGAACGCCACCACCAGTGATAGTCCTCTGCACACAAATGGAAGTAGCACAGCAGTATGGTTGTCTCCGAGCACGTGATGATCAGGATGACAAAGACCAGGAACAGAAAGCCGAACATGTAGTAAATCTGGCTGGACCACAGCGAGCTCAGGATAAAGAACAGCTGGATGAAAATGCAGCCAAAGGGCAGAACGCCGCCCATAACGATGCCGGGAATAGGTTGAGTGTAGATCGATTGGTCGGGAATCTGACGAGGAATCTGGTTGGTACGCACAGGGTGCTCCAGGGCCTACAAATATATTCAAAACCATGTAAAATGCTGTGTGCTCCAAACTGGCGACAAATATACTCACGCGCTTGCGGAACCCAAAGTATGCACCAACAAAGGTCAGTGGCACCGAGACGCCAAACCACAAGGCAAGCAAGGCAATCAGTGTGCTAAATGGCACAGCTCCCGAGCTACTCTCGCCCCAAAGCACCAGATTCATCACAAAGAACAGTGAAAAGACCACACTAAAACAAGAGGTAAAATGTTTATAAGAAACTTTTTGACTGTAAAAGTTAAATTAATCATTTTTTAAGAAAAACTTACCCAGGGCAAACAATCGAGGTAAGGATTACATTACTCTTCCACTTCAGGCCACCGAAACTCTTGTAAATACGCGCAGACACGTAACCAGCCGGTGTTCCCAGTGAAACAAACAAGACCATGGAGCAAGTCATCAAGGCACCGCGATTGGCTGGCGACAAGAAACCCAGGCAGGCAAAGGCCAAGGTGATCATGGACATAACCAGCACCTGCGCACCAGAACCCAGGAAAACCGACAGCAGCATGCCCTTGCGCGGCGGCCTGAACACATCTCCATGGACCAGCTTCCAGCCGAACTCCTCCTGGGCATCCTCGCCGCTATCCATCTGGTTATAGCGGGCAATATCCTTGTGCAGAGTCCGCAGCATAATCATGGCCACCATGCCGCTCAAGAACAGAACAATCACAAGGGAGTTCAGAATGGAGAACCATTGGATATTGGTGTGCGGCATGGATTCCAGAATGTAGTCCCAACGGGACGACCATTTGATAGCATCGTTCTTCACAAATTTAACACTATACGTGTAGACGATATTGAGCTGCTCGCCAGCCTTTAAGGAATTCTCACTGATTGCCAGCGGTTCAGTGCTCAAGCAGTTGGGGTTTTCGGGATCCGTATGCTTGATCGATTTGGGAGTAACCTTTACGGAGATAATTCGTCCACTGTTGCCGAACTGAATTCCCCAGTCCTCCGATTGTCCGCTGTGATAGGTGATCTCTAGATCCACATGATTGAAGGGATAGTAATGCATGGGCTGGTTGTATATGGAGTTGATGGGACACCCCTCGCCATCGCTGCGAACAAGACAACCCATGGGGAATCCGATTCCGCAGTATTGCTTGCCATTCTCCAGCGGATAGCACCAGGTCACCGGCATGTTGTCCACAATCCAATGGTGTTGGTAATTCAAGCTGATGCCCTTCTTGAGGACCATCATACGGCGGTTGCTAACTGGATCGTCACCTTTGTATGTCTTGACACAGGTCTAAATAGAAAAATATTAATATAGAGCAACTAAAAACAAATTTTGAATCGTACCTTTGCACATTGCTGATTCTCCAGGAACTGAATTTTATAGGGTCCTGGACGAATTCGCTCGCCGAACACCACCTGTCCCAGATTTTCCACTGGAGAGTTTTGCTCCTCCCCCAAGCAAAAGTCGAAATGATGGTACTCATAGGGTATTACGGATTCCTCGGTGTTCAAGCGGTTCACGTACAATAGGATTTCCGACTGGAGAAGATAATCAATAAATAGATCAATCAATTCGTATTATCAGTTCTTGGTAAATTTGGGTTAATTCTAATCTAATCGCTGATTTTAGTATTTTTAAAAGTGTCACAGAAATAATATTAAATTGTTTAGTAACAATTGGTATTGGTAAGCTGTATAATTTATCTAATGACTTTGATGTTGTGCTAGCATTACAATTTTCTTCTTTTATTGCTAACTTAACTCTAGGGTTCTATAAAATTAATCTTATCTGAAAGGTCTTTTTTCTGGTTAAAAATAATTGAAAGTGAAACACCTCAATTTATTTTTATCAGTAAGTAACAGTTAATTAAAGGCATATACAACGACAAGACTTTTATCTACTTCCTTGAATTATTGTTAAATAAAAAAAACTTTAATTGATTATTTCGCACTTTAATATTAAGGTCACCAATACAAAAATGAACAACTTTGTAAACTAAAAACATAACTTAGTTACTAAGATAAACTTTGATTTTAATATTAGTATAATTTTTGGTTTAACTAGCTGGTAAAGGATATGTTGCCATTTCTCATTTTTATAAAACTTTGAAAGCCAAAGTAGTTTAAAATAACTATAAAGTACTTATAGCTGATTTTATATGTGATTATAAATAACATTATCAAGTGTGATTCAGAGAGTGTAATCAATTTCATACTTAACTTATGTTAGGGCACAAAACTTTGTTAAACTTAAAAATTTTTCCTTAGAAATTTAAAACGTAAAGTAAATTTAAAATTCTTAAATAAATATAAGAAAATTGTTTAAAAAAAAAAGTTTTTCATAAATGTCTATACATAGAACTTAATCAATTGTGCTGGGCATGAAATATGATTCTTATTTGGCTTGGTGATACGTCAGAAGTTAAGATCAGACCAAAAGCCCACGAAATTAACCTGCATTCGAGGGCCAGCTGAACCAACATTAGAACTCTCATTTTTGCTTTTGGAAGCATGGGTAGCGTCGTCAACGTCAGCAGAAGTTGAGATATGGACCCCTCATTTGGACCCAACGTATACATATAGCTAGAAACTAGCCTTATCAGCGCTTCCGTTCCTGACCGCCATTAGAGGAATATATCGCCACTATACATCACTATTTCCACTTGGCGTTGCTAATTGTTGCGGGCGTAAGGCAAACACACCCACAATGCGAGTACATACATACGTATGCCCATACATACATACATACCTTGCATGTGGAGGAGACATCGGTTTTCTTGCAGAAATTAACCGGCGCCAATCCGGGCAGATAGAACGCCTGGGTCGGGATCACCAGGTGCAAAAGGACGACGCCCAGGAGGGGCACAAGTCCGGAAAGCAGGATCATCTTGAATTTGCGGCCAACGAACGGCAGGAGTTGCAGCCCTCTTTCTTTTATGGGTTGTATCTACAACGTGGCCGTGTCAGCGACACACTCCCACACTCTCCGGATCGGCGGGCCTCGCACAAACCGTACTGGGTGAATATTTATCGGAATATACGGAGTTTCTCGAGTGTTTTTACTACGTTTCCTCTTTTTTTTTGCCGAACGTCAGCACTGTAATAAGGTTGCCACCTAGTCCAGCTGAGCGGGCTGCCAACTGTCTTGCGGAAGGGTGGCGTGGCAGCACTAAACCAGGGCTAAATACCGCAAAAGGTAAAAAAAAAAAGTTTTTAATTTTATAATAACAACATAACTCAAGTAAGATTAGCGTTTAGAATAGGTTCAGTAATAGAAAGGCGCCTTTAATAACTAAAATAATAAAAACAAACGTTATAAAAATTATTACTTTAATATTTTATAATATAGAAAATAAAAATTTATAAAAATTCAGGATTTATAAATATCAGTCGTTTTAAATATCCCTCTATAACAGGTTTCCAAGAGAAATACGTCAAAATTTCGATTATTCACTTGTAATAAGATCGTTTTGTTCGTTACAATCATAAAATTCAAACCTAACGTTTTGATTTATAGGGAATCCTGTAATGTGAAGTATTTCAATTCTTTATTTTTATCCGTTTCTAAAACTAGCTGCAATTTAATACTATGTCTTTTTTCGTAAACAAACACTTAAATTGTTAATAATTATTTGATAAATAATTCGACAAAATAACAATCAGTGAATTCATCGATAATTTCAGGGAAACCATCGCCGTCGATTTCTGGAAACATCGATTTTTGTTTCAGCTCTATTTCAAATCGCAGCCACAAGAAATATATTGCCCTCCTCCCCATAAAAAGGAAAAATAGAAATTGCGCGAGCTTGAACTAGGCTTATAATAAATATAACTAAGTAAATCGCCGTTAGGAATCCCGCGCTTTTTTACCGTTCCAGAGAAACCAACAACAACAAAACGTGAGTAGAATGTGGAGTTCCATTGTAGGTGCGCGTGAGAGTGTGTGTGCGAAAAAATCAATTCTTGTGACGTTCAAGGTGTTGCAACCTGTCAAAAGAAATTCTCAGATTTTCTTAAAATAGTCCATCAACTTTATTTTCTTTGCCTTAACCCTTTGCAGCCGGTAGACAACTATTGTCTAGAAATTACGCAAAAATTCCATTACCCACACACTCACACAGACCCACGAGCTGCAGAAAGAAACGGAAAGTGAAGTACAATACATAGAGAAGGAAAAAAGAGCGCAAAATGACTTCCGATATCGCCATGCAACTGATTGCCATTTTGGAGAAGACGGTGTCGCCAGGTGAGTTTTTAGCCATATATGTGTGTATGGATCTATAAAATATAGCACTCCCCCGGTGTCACTGGTTTTTTTCGCGGGAGGGACGCGCGTTATATGTTGCGCAGGGTTGCAATAGGCGCTCGCATATGTTTGGTTGCTAGGGGCCTTCGCACACATGTGCATCTGTACATACTCGTATTCCCCGTAGCCACCGTGTGCTTATGTATTCGCCATAAGTGCGCTCCTACAATTAAGGATTTATAAACCGCTTCCATGACATAACCTCACAAACGCTAGGGATCAATGAGGCGTCGCTTTTGAGTCTCCAACGTATGTTTGGCGACCAGTTCTTCCGGTTGCCGATAAGATGGTTTGCAAACTTTATGCCGAGCTTGAAGATAAAACATTTCGACGCCGGAAAACAAAAAACCTAGCCCTTTTACTCTTTGTAAAAAACGTCCAAGATGAATCATTTCATAACTATCCTTCGCGGAAATCCCTACCTAAAAAATTATTTTTTATAAACCATTATTTTCATGTAGCTCTCTGTTTTTTATAGATAGTAATAGTTTTTCTGTCCTTTAATCCGAATGAATTCTGTAGTGACCGGGTGAATTTTTTTTATATTTAATCCGAAAATCACTTTTTATGACATTATTTTCATGTAGCTCTCTGTATTTTATAGATAGTAATAGTTTTTCCGTTCTTTAATCCGAATGAATTCTTCAATGACCTTTTATTGGATTTTTTTATATTAAGTCCGAAAATCCATTTTTATGACAAACTCATTCCTAATTTCCAGACAAAAATGAACTGTTGTCGGCGAAGAACTTCCTTGAGCAGGCGGCGGCCAGCAACCTGCCGGAATTCCTCAAGGCGCTGTCGGAGATCCTGGTGAACACGACAAACAGCGCGGTGGCCCGAATGGCAGCCGGTCTCCAGCTGAAGAACCACCTGACCAGCAAGGATGAGAAGATCAGCCAACAGTACCAGGAGCGCTGGCACCAGTTTCCCAGCGAGATCCGCGAGCTGATCAAGAACAATGTGAGTTATATTAATTAGAACTCCTATTTTCTGACACTAAACTACGTTATCCTTGCAGATCCTGGCCGCTTTGGGTACCGAGAACACGCGACCCTCTTGCGCTGCTCAGTGCGTGGCCTATGTGGCCGTGATCGAGCTGCCCATGAACAGGTGGGCCCTGCTCATCCAGACCCTGGTGAACAAGGTGGTCAGCGAGGGATCCAGCGAGATGCATCGCGAGGCTGCGCTGGAGGCGATCGGCTACATCTGCCAGGACATTCGATTCGGGGTGCTGGAGAACCAGTCCAACGACGTGCTCACTGCCATCATTCACGGCATGCGGAAGGTGGAGCCCAGCAATCACGTTCGCTTGGCTGCCACCACGGCCCTGCACAACTCGCTGGAGTTCACGAAATCGAACTTCGAGAAGGACATGGAGCGCAACTTCATCATGGAGGTGGTGTGCGAGGCCACCCAGTGCCAGGACTCGCAGATCTGCGTGGCCGCTCTCCAGTGCCTGGTGAAGGTTATGACCCTCTACTACCAGTTCATGGAGCCCTACATGGCGCAGGCCCTCTTCCCCATCACTTTGGCAGCCATGAAGGCGGAAAACGATGCGGTGGCTCTGCAGGGCATTGAGTTCTGGTCGAACGTGTGCGACGAGGAGATCGATCTGGCCATCGAGAGCCAGGAGGCCACGGATCAGGGCAGGGCTCCCCAGCGGGTATCCAAGCACTACGCCCGCGGTGCCCTGCAATTCCTGACGCCCGTGCTCGTCGAGAAGCTGACCAAGCAGGACGAATGCGACGACGAGGACACATGGAGTCCGGCGAAGGCCTCCTCGGTCTGCCTCATGGTGCTGGCCACCTGTTGCGAGGACGATATCGTGCCGCATGTGCTGCCCTTCATCAAGGAGAACATCGAGTCGCACAACTGGCGGTTCCGCGACGCTGCAGTGATGACCTTCGGCTCCGTGCTGAACGGACTGGAGACCAACACACTGAAGCCGCTCGTGGAGCAGGCCATGCCCACGCTCATCCGGCTGATGTACGACTCCAGCGTTATTGTGCGCGACACCACCGCCTGGACCTTCGGACGCATCTGCGATGTGAGTGGGCGAAAAACGGTGATAGTGACTATGTAATACTAATGGTTTTCCTTGCTTTCCCCCCACAGATTATTCCCGAGGCGGCCATCAACAAGACCTATCTGCAGACTCTGCTCGAGTGCTTCGTGAAGAGCTTAAAGTCGGAGCCGCGAGTGGCGGCCAATGTGTGCTGGGCCTTCATCGGCCTTTCAGACGCCGCCTTCGAGGCAGCGGTCACCACCGAGGGCGAGACCCCGGAGACCTACGCCCTGTCGCCGTACTTTGAGTACATCATCACCCAGCTGCTGGAGACCACCGATCGATCGGACGGAGCTCAGGCCAATTTGCGCAGTGCTGCCTATGAAGCACTCATGGATATGATCAAGAACTCGCCCCTGGACTGCTATTTGGTGGTGCAGCGCACGACTCTGGTGATTCTGGAGCGTCTGAACCAGGTGATGCAGATGGAAACACAGATAAACAACCACAGCGATCGCCATCAGTTCAACGATCTGCAATCCCTCTTGTGCGCCACACTGCAAAGTGTTTTGAGAAAGGTCCACGAGCAGGATGCTCCCCAAATTTCGGATGCCATCATGACCGCTTTGCTGACAATGTTCAATTCGAGCGCTGGAAAGTCGGGTGGCGTGCAGGAGGATGCCTTCCTGGCCGTCTCCACGCTGGTGGAACTTTTGGGAGTGCAGTTCGCCAAGTACATGCCCGCTTTCAAGGACTTCCTCGTCATGGGCCTGAAGAATCACCAGGAGTACCAGGTCTGCTGCGCTTCTGTCGGCCTCACCGGCGACATTTTCCGCGCTTTAAAGGATCTAATGGTGCCCTACTCCGACGAGATAATGTCCGTGCTGTTGAACAACCTTGCGGAACCGAGTCTGCATCGCAGCGTCAAGCCGCAGATTCTGTCTGCTTTCGGGGACATAGCATTGAGCATTGGCAGCCACTTCCTGACATATCTGAGCGTGGTTCTAGAAATGTTGCGAGCTGCGTCCAACCTGCAGGTGAGTGCTTTAAAGTATTTCGTTTCTATTAAGATGGTTTCTTGACACCTGTAATTTTTCCCTCAGACGGACGCCAACAACTTCGATATGAACGAATACATCAACGAGCTGCGTGAGAGTGTGCTCGAGGCCTACACTGGCATCATCCAGGGCCTGAAGGGCGTGGACCAGACGGCTCATCCCGACGTGATGCACATGGAGCCGCATCTGGTTCACATTATCACCTTCATCAAGCGCATCGCTCAGGAGGGTGACGTGTCCGATTCGATGATGGCCAGTGCCGCCGGTTTCATCGGCGATCTGTGCACCTCTTTCGGGCCGCGCCTCTACCCGCTGCTGGACGACGCCATCATCACTCACTTCCTGGCCGAGGGCAAGCGCTCCAAGGGACAGCGCACCAAGATGCTGTGCACCTGGGCCGTCAAGGAGATCAAGAAGATCAATAGCCAGGTCATCACGCAGTAGATCGCCTGCGAAAGGTTAATGTTTCCCTGCTTCCCACCAGACCCTCAAGATTGTATGTTATGCAGCCAAACTGGTGAGTACATGGAGTTCTAGTTCTGTATTTCATCAGGAAATGAATGGTTTATTTGGATGAGTCTATTTCTGGATCACTTCAGACGAAAGTAATTGATACTTTACTTTGAAAAAGCAAAAAAGATTAAAAATGGAAATAATATAAAGACTTCGTCTAGATTTTCCAAAGAAATGGACCCATCCTCCCTAACAATTGTTCCGTATTTACTTTTTGATTTTCATTTTTCACACATTTCTCTATTTTTGCAGTCCAGTCCGAATTATCTGATTAAAAGATTCTATCTGCTAAGTTTGTTTGTCCGATATATTGTTGCTGTGCAACTTGTAAATGCTAAGACAAATTGTTTATAAAACCCCACTAGCTGTAAGCTCAAACCGAACCTCTGTTTCGACATAATATCTTAGTTAAGGCCTGTTAATCATCGTGTGAGTTTATTTATCCCCAATTCATTGTCCTCGCTCGGTAATGCAAACCCAAAAGCAGGCTGCCCATTGACTAAAACACCATATTGAATATTATCGCTGCATGGAATTATGACATTTTTAAAGAAGCCGGCGCTAAGGGCAGCCTTGTTTTGGGATTGATCCGAAATCCGGCGACATCGTAGCCCGATTTTAAGCTTAACCAAAAAGCTAACGAAGCTGTTATACAAAATTATGTAAAATTTAATTTTATTTATAAAAATCGGTAGAAAAAATTGCGTTATCAAGTAAAACACATTAAATGCATTGAACCCCTTTGGAAACATTAACTTGTAGCGGCTGTAAGAACCACACTCTAAGTTATAAGAACTAATGTACACCCTCACTAGCCCAACAAAAAAATATATAAAATAAGAATGAATGTCTTGAGTGTGAACCGAATGTGATGGAATGAAGCATATGGCTGAGAGCGAGTATGTATTATTTATTAACTATAAGTCTGCGTGCCTGTTGTCCGACACCTTACCCCCTATGCCAATAGTTATGCTGTGATGAATGCTTGAGAGAAACTCTGTAAATGGTATTTTATGATTGCGAGAACCCCACGAAAATGTATGAAACTGGATGAGAATTTCCTTTTTCTTTGGCGCGCGTGTGTATCGGCGTGTTGTGTGATATTATGAATTAAGCGTAAGGACTTTTCTAGTGAAACGAAACGAATGATTTTAGATGTAAGCAAAACAGCAAATCAAAAAGATTTTAAACGGATTTGAATTTAAATTTACACGCAAACGAAACGAAACTAAATGTTAAACACTCAAAGACGACTGAAAAACCAACCTAGCAACTAAAAAACGAAATACGAAATGACTTAGGGACGTACAAAGGCGAGGGCGTGGCTATCCGAAAAAAAACTTGCACTACACAAAAAACAGCGAAATGAAATCCAGAATAGAAATCAATATTCAAATCAGCCACGCTCAAAGCCCACAAAAGCACGAAATTATGAAATTGTTTTATTTTTTGTGTATACGTTTAAGTGTGCTCTCATTAATTCCAACCAATGACGCTTAATTTTGCCTCTCACTTTATTTTATTTTGTATTTAAATGAAAATGGCGAGAATAGCAACGAGAATCCAACAAAACAGCAAAAACAACAACCAAGCAACTACCTGCAGCACACAAACCACATGTATAATTAATATATATATTAGGTAAACGCAAGATACTAAAACTAAATACGCAACGGACCAGGGTATACAAAAAAGAAATAACAAAAAAACCACAAAGGAGCTAGAAATATCTGTAGTAATTTTAAATCTTCAGAATGTGTACGATTTAAAGCTGCTACAAATTTTTCTGGAAGCCCTGAAAATCATAATTTACATAGAAATATAGAACGCGCATAAAGACACTTGACAGCTTGATAGGACAAAACAACGACACATACTTCATTTAGATATTTTATCATATACAAACCATACAAAAAACATAACCAGAAACTACCTTACGAAAAAGACGCGACTGTGAACGATGGCAAGTAAATAGAGGATAAAAATGAAGTCGAAACTAACCGTTTAAAATCTTTTCACAACATTTAAACACACTAAAAACATGGAGTGAAGTGAACTATTGTGAACTACTTTAGATTTAAGCGCACATATAATACGAATACTATACACCAGTTTCAAAATTGTAAACAGAATAGAATTTGTTAAACTAAGCTTAAATACCTACCGGTTTTTAACTTTCTTCAATGAATTCTTCAGCTCGGCAAGTTGTCATTTCAAAAGTAAAAATCTTTCATTGGTAATATTTGTCTCGTTTTGCAATAAAATATCGCACAGCCGTCCAAGAGAAGGAAGAAATTAAAAAAAAATTAACGATTGTTTTATCAGATTTGAACATATCAAAAATTAGATTTTTGAAATGGCAACTTACGTACAGCACTCAAAGGAAACTTGAAATGGCCAAAATTAATTAGATAAACACTAATATTAGCTATGAATGATCGGACGCGGATGATTAAGATGAGTGACTCTGAATCTTTGGAAGATCGAAAGCTGAGCAACGCCTAAAGGAACATGAACGTTTATGGCTGTGCTATGCGAAATGTAAGTGATGCCTAGAATTTTTATATTCACTCTACCAATATAAGTTAGCTTATCTAGAAGAATAACACATCGTACTAGTTGCTAATAATCACATTTCTCAACCTTTTTTCACAGGTGTGTTGATTGAGTATGATGCTTGGTGCTGATTATTATGATGATGACACTTGTGCATTGAATGATGATGAATTATGTGATGATTGACAATGGTTGTTTATGAGAGTGACTGATGATGGGAAGAGTATATCTAGACGAAATCACCAACAAACTAATACACGTCACTCAAATCATTTAGCACAAATTTCTACGTTTTATACATACTTACATTTCCCACTTTTATAAACAGTAGGAGTGCGTGAAAACTGTGACTGAGTAAATTTGTATGTAACCATTCCAAAAAAAAAAAACAAATATAACAAAAATCATTAAAATCGAGGGACTATTGAGTTTATTACATCTAGCTGTTAAGAAATGATTTCATGTCACTAGAGTAAGCCAGTAAAATGGCAAACGGTGGAAAAGCAAGCTCCAATAAAGGGCACGGTGGACCCGCTTTTCGGGCCATCCACTGTGCGAAATAAAGGGTTTTCAGTGGGCTTGCCTTTTAACCCTTGCCTTGTGTGCGAATGGTCGTCGTCTGATCTAAGCTTAAAAAATAAATAAACTAAAAACGAAACTGTAACTTTGCCTGTGATTCGATCATCTGTATGGAGTGTGCTGTATGAGAGTATTGTGTGGACTGGATATATCTGATATCTGTAATGTAAGAGAAAGCACCCCGCGCAGCAGAGAAATGGTATTTTTTTGTAAACATTTAAAGGATTACAAATAAATGCACAATTGCATGTGAACTAAAAACAAATTGAGAACGTAACATATGGTACTGATTTTATACTGAGAACCGAGACTTACTATATATACATACATACAACTACACAACCTACAACTTACTTAAGGACTCACAAGGATTACTTTACGCGGGACTTTAGACAACGTACGCTAGAACAATACTTCACACGAAACGCCAACTAGTGAAATTTACACCCACATTACAAGCCACGCATTACACCAACGTACATATGAGCATTATAATGGATTATCTTAAATATACACTGACAATTGGTGACGCTGACGCGCGGTGCTTTAGCCGAATTAAATCTAGTATATGTGCTACTCGGTATGCTAGTTAATCCTAATTTAGTCAGTAAGTAGGGATGCGCGAGAGAACACTTGACCCACGATTGCGATAGGAGAGAATCAATTATGTTACGTTATTTAGTATGCTGTATTATCAATTATTAAAAAAGGAAACCCCTCTGAATATCAATGTGCGGCCTAACTGTTCGGAAACAAATTGTATGACTGATAGTTTGTACGCGAAATTTTAGCAAATGTAAATTGAGTCTGTGTGCAAGAGCGAGAATAAAAGAATTTTGAATGCAAGAGCAACAAAAATATAAATGTGTTTTATTAAATATGGCATCTTAGATTGGGATTTTTGATACTTTTATAGCCGGAAAACCTACAGTTTGGCTCGCTCTGAAAGTGTAAGTACTCCCGAGTCCAGCAAGTCCTTTAGTTCATGCGGCTCAAGATCCAATTCGTTTATCAGTTCAAGCTGTTTTTCATCATTTGGCTTGGGCAATTTTCCCGGAGTTCTGCTTAGCAATGGAGCAGGACGTGGAGCAGGTATATCCCCAATCATATCGAACGAGTTCCTCTCCTTGTTGTGATCGTGTTTGTGAACCTCCCGGTAATCCAGCACGGGGTAGACACAAGCATCTACATCCTCAAAGATCTGCGACCATTCCGCTTGGGTTTTGGATAGGAAGGCTTCCGTTAGCAATTTCCTTCCCCGATCCTGATGTTCATGGCCAAACTGGGAAAGATCCTCGGGCAGTTCCAAGCGCTGTCGTAGCACCTCAAAGAACTGCGGTTCCAAGGCCCCCACAGACATGTACAGACCGTCCTTGGTTTCATAGGTATCGTAGAAATACGAGCCGCCGTCGATGAGGTTGTCACCGCGCTTCTGGCCCCAAATGGCCAGATTCCGGGACATGAAAAGCCAACTGGCCACATAGGCAGCTCCCTCCACCATCGACGCATCCACCACTTGACCTCTTCCGGAGCCATGGCGCTCCAGGAGGGCAAGACAAATTCCCAGGGCGCACATAACACTGCCGCCGGCGAAATCGGCCAGAAGATTAATGGGTGCAGTCACCTTCTCGTGCCGCCGGCCCAACATGGAAAGTACTCCCGATATGGCAGCATAGTTGATGTCGTGACCTGCCCGTGGTGCCAATCTTCCGTGCTGGCCAAAACCCGTGAGGCGAGCGTAAATCAGGCGGGGATTCCCTTTACACAGCTCGCTGGGACCCAGGTTCAGTTTCTCCATAACTCCCGGGCGAAAGGGTTCGATGAGCACGTCGCACTTGTTGGCCAACTTGCGCACCAATTGCTGACCCTTTGGGTTCTTCAGATCCACACTTATGGTGCGTTTTCCCTGCTGCAGTACGTCCAAAGGGTTTTCGAGAACCTTTGTAGGATGAAGAAATATTTATGTTTACAGGTTCTAAAGATGCATGTAAGTAACGGCCGGTTTGTTTACCTTATCGATGCGGGTGACGGTGGCCCCGAAATCGGTTAGGATCTTGCCACATAATGGTCCAGGTGCTAGGCCCACGAATTCCAACACTTTGATGCCTTTCAGCGGCATTTTTCGAGTACTTTTTAGCCAAAAAGCAATAAGAAAAGTAGTTGCACTTTGAACGCCATTGCCTTGGGGTTGCCAACTTGTCTGGGCTTTTATTATTTAAATTTGTCATACTGTTACCGAATTAATTTAAGATTATTTTCAAAATAGAATAAATGTTTGTATTAATAAAGATTAATAATTTCAAGAAAATGATCCTCTGAACAATTTTAAATGTAATATATTTTAGTTTTAAAGACGATCTTTTTATATCTCGACAACCCTGTTTCGGCTTTGGGTGATGCCAACCTGCCTCAAACTTTTAATTCGCAAAAGGGAAAAGCCGCAACAACATTCAATCCCAATTACTTCAAGTTACAATTGGCGAGCGCTAGACAAATCAAAATTGACCGGAAGTGAGACCAGGATTTGACCCAGAAGCAATGCCACAGCAACGGCGCAAGTTGGCCTTCAGCGGCAAGAAGAAGAAGGACCAGTTGGTCCAGAAGCGCAACACAAAAGGTGAGAAAACATTTGGGTTCTGTGCCCACCTGTGAAAAGGGGGCGGAAAGAAAGAAAGAAAAGCGGAGGAACGTATGACTAACGATGTTACGCCAGGTCCGCCAAAGTATCTGAGGAGCACACAGGAGTCCTACGAGGACAGCGATGTTCCCGAAACGACCAGGAAGCTCATGGAACAGCCCTTCGCCCGCGGCGGAAACCGGAACAAAAACGTGAATCGCTACAATTTGCAGTTCTACCAGGAAGGGAAAAAGGAGCTCGAGCAGATGAAACAGGAGGGCTTCAAGCCCTTCGAAGTATTGAGTTCCAAGCAGCGCGAGGTGGACGATCGTTACTTCGTCGGCTGCGACTTTCCCGTTCGACCACCGTGGAAGCTGGCGAACTCCAAGGAACAGCTCGATCGCACCGAGAATCGGTACTTTAAGGTAGGTCAGGTCCATAAGAAATTGAGTTCGAGCCCTATGCTTTCGAAACAAAAAAATTATGAGGATTCAGACCAATTGTTGCAATGAGACCTTGCAATATATTTGTCTGATTTTGAAAGATATTTTTTACTTATCTAAAATTCTACACACTTTTAATAAACCTGTTATTTTATAAGAAAAACCTTTTACTAAAGTTTACTAAGTTTTACTATTCAGCCTAATTGTTACAATATTTAAGGTCTTAAAATATATTTGTCCGATCTCAAAAGATAATCCTCTCCCAAAATTCTGCATACTTTTAATAAACCATATATTTTATAAGGAAAACCTTATAAACCTTTTTAAAAAGTTGTACTAAAAACTTTACATTTCTTTTCGAGATTCTTTTTCAAAATCTCTATTTTTTTAAATTATATCTCAATATACATTTAATTAATTACACTAGTTTACAGCCGAAATGCTCCCCAGCAATTGATGGCAAATTCTGCTAGTTTTAGACCCCTAGATCACGAAAATATAACTAATTTTTTTTCGATGGCACAGTTTTTTTTTTAAGATTTTTTAAAGTTCGAAATGTTAAGTTTCGGACTTTTTTCGAATTTCTTCTTATATCTCGGCAGATATCCACTCGGTTGGGCCAGTTTTAGTTTTATTTTAAAGTCAATAGATCAGAGCTTAACTTTGCCATACAGATCAATATGATTAGATGAGTAGTGGCAGCGCAGAAGCTCGACAAAGATGAAAAATGTGTTTTTTGGTCGTCTGTAAGTCGGCTGTATATATCTTAAAAACTCGAAATAAATCCGTTGAAAAATCAAAATGGGTACAAACTTAAATTTTACATCCTACCGAATAAAACAAGCCGGATATGGCCCAAATCCATGGAAAACTGGATTTATGGTGGATTTTTTAAGTTCGGATTTTTCCACTTTTTTCGGTTGACAGAGTCCAAATTTAAGATTTATCATAGGCGGCGACATGTAAACAAAAATGAGTGGTGACGGCAGCCGGGTCAAAAAATAGCTAAATTTGAAAGCTAGAAAATTATAAAATAAATTTAATTACTGAAAATTCTTTTAAAAATATAAAATTGCTTGCGTTATGACTGTGAGTATTTTTAATTAAGTACTATCCATTTGGATAGTTCATTCTTATGAAAAAAGTAAACTTAATTTCAAAAATTAAATTCACTTAAATAATTTTCTAGCTTTTAAATAACTGATTTAGCTATTTAGTGACCCGGCTGCCAGCACCAATTATTTTTGTTTACATGTCGCCGCCTATGATAAATCTTAAATTTGGACTCTGTCAACCGAAAAAAGTGGAAAAATCCGAACTTTAAAAATCCACCATAAATCCAGTTTTCCATCGATTTGGGCCAAATCCGGCTTGTTTTATTCGGTAGGATGTAAACTTTAAGTTAGTACCCATTATGATTTTCAACGGATTTATTTCGAGTTTTTACGATATATACAGCCGACTTACAGACGACCAAAAAACACATTTTTCATCTTTGTCGAGCTTCTGCTCTGCCATTACTCATCCAATCGTATTGATCTGTATGGCAAAGTTAAGCTCTGATCTATTGACTTTAAAATAAAACTAAAACTGGCCCAATCAAGCGGATATCTGCCGAGATATAAGAAGAAATTCAAAAAAAGTCCGAAATTTAACATTTCAAACTTTAAAAAATCTTTAAAAAAAAACTGTGCCATCGAAAAAAAATTAGTGCTATTTTCGTAATCTAGGGGTCCAACACTAACAGAATTTGCCATCAATTGCTGGGGAGCACACCAAGAATATTATTTTGTAAACTAGTGTTATCAAACCAGGAATACGTGGATTTTAAATAAAAACCCTATTTTGACTGTATAAAGGTTTTTCTAAAAACTTTACATTTCTTTTCGAGATTCTTCTTCAAAATCTATATTTTTATGAAACCATATCTCAATATACATTTAATCAATTATCAAAATAGGAATACGTGGACGATCTGCAGAAGAAGCAGCGTGCTGGCGACTCAAAGGAGCTCTCTCTATTCGAGCTGAACCTGGAAACGTGGCGCCAGCTATGGCGTGTCCTGGAGTTCTCCGACATCCTGCTCATCATTGTGGACGTGCGCTATGCCACGCTGATGTTTCCGCCCTCGCTGTACGACTACATCATCAATACGCTCAAGAAACACGCTATTGTGGTGTTCAACAAGGTGGATCTGGTGGAACCTCAGGTGGTAGTGGCTTGGAGGCAGTACTTTCGCGACCGCTACCCCCAACTACCAGTGGTCCTCTTCGCCTCCTTCCTTCCGCGATCCCGCAAGGGAAGCCAGCGTGGTCCTCAGGCGCATCGCAGGAGCATGGAGGGCGTGTACAACATTTACAAAGAGTGCCAGCGCTATGTCCAAGGAGAGGTGGATCTGACTGCCTGGGAGCAGAAGATACGCGAGGATATGCGCAGTGATCAGTTGGACATCCTGGAGGATCTGGCGACGGCCGTGGAGGGGGAGCTCAAGATCAGCAGCAGCATCGACACCACGCCCCACGAGCACGTGAAGTACCACAGTGGCGTTCTGACCGTTGGCTGCATCGGTTTCCCCAATGTGGGCAAGTCCTCGCTGATCAACGCCTTGAAGGGGCGCAAGGTGGTCAGCGTGAGTCGCACGCCCGGTCACACGAAGCACTTTCAGACCATTTTCCTCACGCCACTGGTTCGCCTCTGTGATTGTCCCGGTCTAGTCTTCCCGTCGAGCACTCCCAAAAGCCTCCAGGTGCTGCTGGGCAGCTTCCCCATCTCCCAGCTGGCCGTTCCCTACCGCTCCCTGAAGTTCCTCGGCGAGCATTTGAATCTAGCGCAGCTTCTGCGACTCCACCTGCCCGAGGACTATGACGAGTGGTCTGCGGTGGCCATTTCCGATGCCTGGGCGTACAAGAGGGGATTCCTCACCGCCAAGGCGGCCAGGCCGGATCGCTATAGGGCCGCCAATCACATTCTTCGCATGTGTCTGGCCGGTCAACAGCTGCTGGTGCTGCAGTTCTATCCGCCGGGCTTCGAGGAGCGACGTGATCAGTGGCTCCTGCATCCCGATCTCGCGGAGGTCAAGAAGTACCAGCAGGTGGAACTAGATGAGCCCGAGAGTGAGACCAATGGCGACACTTCTTCAGTCTGCTCGGATAGTGAGTAACTTGATGGTCAAACTATATACTTTAATTAAAAAACCCCTTCTTCAGCTGCCGACAGCGATGACGAAGACGAGGACAGCTCCAACGACGAAACGAATGCCGATGAAGACGAGTGCGCCATGGAGGAGGACGCGCCCCGGTCCCGCAACGTGTTTGCTCTGCTGGAGGATGACTAAAATGGGCATTTACCAAGAAATGTTGTTATTGCATCACTAGTTTGCACTTATAATTTATTATAAACCATGTTTTGCTAAAAGAACTACACACGAAGATGATTTCTTTTGTGAGCTTAACAATAAACTGAAAAGCAGGTTAGATGTCGTCAATTTCATCGGAGGAAATGTAGTCCTCGCCCAATCGTTCGTCTAACGATAGAAGCAATTCAATAGCTCTGTAAGGAAGACAAGAACGTTATTATAATTGTTAAGCTACCATTTTCAAATTGAACCAACTTGATCAACTGCTTTTCATAGCCGTTTTCTTCTATGGGAGCCGGATACAAGGCCTTTTTGAGCAGCAACTTTTCCAGATTGCTACGCAGTTCTAGCACTACCTCGGCAGTTTCTTGATTGCATTTGAAGCTTCAAAAAATAAGTAGTTTAATTAAAAGATAAAAAAAATATTATGCATATGGGCAATTCTCTGCTGTCGTACGCTTTGTAGGTGAAAAAAAGCCATCTTTCAGGACTTCTTTTCTTTTGGCTTATATAAAAAAACAAGACTTTCGCACGCGACACCAATAGAAGTGACTTTTTTGACTTGCTGCTTAACTTTCCATTGTAACGAAACGTGAAAGAATATTTTAATGCAATTAATTTCATAGTGTTCCTTGTTCTTTCTTCTTTAAAATGTATTCGGTTTGGTTACAAAATATTGTGGGGTTATTTTTTTATTGGCATCAAAGTGACACGTCGCACGCGACAATTTTTTCCGTCATTTTCTTAGGTGGTTTTTCTGTAAAACCGTTACAGAGTCACTTTTAAAAATAACGAACGAATACCATAAAATAACTTTTTTGTCCATATAACAGATATTGGCCTGGAAATTTATCCAAGGATACTCAAATTACTTAGCTTAGTTGAGGATCCATCTAAATAGAATCAAATATCAATGCAAAATCATATGTTTTTTCAAGTTTCACGCTTTTTGGCTTGGTTGACATCCCCAGAGAATTGCTCACATTAGTACTACTTACTAGTAAGTCTTGGCCACACATAAATACGGTGTATTTTGGGTTACTCCTGCCTCCACTCCATCGCCGAAAATAATCAGGGCCATGGGAAAGACCATTGTGGAGTCGAGCAGAAACAGATCGGTGGACTTTTGCCGCTGGAAATACACAAAGTAGGCCGAATCAAAGCCACTCTCGCCGCTGTTCACCGAGGAGGGATGGAAGTTCACCCGGCGTCCATCGTCCGTGGCCATGGTATGAATAGCACGCACTCGGTTCTTGATCTGTCTCGATTTTCTGCAGATAAATTAACTGTCTTAACTAAATGTTTCTACTCTGATTAAGTAATAGCTACCGCAAGTGCGCCATGTTGGGATAAAGACCCGCTCCAATAATGGCCCTCAGCAAGGGAATTTTTCCTGAATTCATGTTGGACGTAGTATCCTTGCAGTTCGAGGACGTGAGAAATCTGTAACATTGCGGAATATGAGCATTTAGTTTAGTTCGTCGGTTGACAATCTCACTTGTAGTTGTACAGAAGTTCACTGAACTGATTCTTCATCCTCTCCAGCTGCTGCAGTGTCATGGAGCTGAGGAAGTTCTTGTAGCAGAAGTCGCGTTCCGCATGCGCATAGCGACTTTCCCGGTACGCACTAATGGTGTTGTGTACCAACAGGTGGTCACTGCGCATGCTGCGCGACATTCTCCGCTTGATCTCGTCCACTTGACTCTCTTTTCCCAGAGGCGAGTAGAAGGGCGACTTGAACGACAAGGCAGCCGCTGCCGAAGTAATGGGATCCAAGCAGCAGAAAAGGGCCGACATCAGTATCATTTTGCCCATCTGCGGATCGATGGGCAGCTTGGCCAAGTGCATGCCCAGCGGAGTGAGGGTGCCCGTCTTGTCCAGAGCTTCAATGCTGATGAAAAAAGATTATAATACTAACTGTAGAACAAATTATTCCATCAAACTCACCGCATCAACAGCTCCACTCCAATCTTAATGGCCTCGGGATTGGGGGCATTAATCAGGGTTTGCAGGAAACGGTACGGATCGTCGATGTGCAGCAGCTTCAGGCTCAAAATTATGGATTCCAGCTTGGAGCGCAGAATCTCCGGCGTTGGAATGTCGGCCATTAAATTCTCCCTGGCTCGGCTAAACAGATTGTAGCATACTCCTGGTCGGACTCGACCTGCTCTCCCCTTCCGCTGCTGCGTATTGGCCTTGGTTACCCACACTTCCTCCAGCGTCTGAATATTCGTTTCGATGTCATAGTTGGTGGCCTTCGTGCGCCCAGAGTTTATCACATAGACCACATCGTCAATGGTCACCGAAGTCTCGGATATAATCGTGGAGATGATGACCTTCCGTTTTCCCGCCGGTGGACGCTTGAACACTGCCTGCTGTTCGGCCGATTGCATTAGGGAATGTAAGGGAAAGACTGCTATGTGATCCCTCCATCTTTGACCCTTTGGGCTCTTTGGTTTGTCTAGCAGTGTGTATAGCTGCGAGATTTTATCGTAGCCCGGCAGGAAGACCAAAATGGCACCCTCCGGTTCGCTTTCACAAATGTAATAGACGAGATCGGCTATGAAATCCATGTCCTCGCAGCCCTCCGATTCCGGCAGACGCAACTTCTTGAGCACCCGGCTATCGTAGGAGTTCCTGATGCGCCGCAGGTAAGGCTCTATCATCGCCTCATGCTTCATCCGACGCTCAGGGCGATCCCGCTTGGGACGACGATCGCGTGACTTCTGAAACTCGTAGTTCGTCCTGGCCAGGACGTCCTCCAGATAGAGCATTTGCACGGGAAACATCACGCCTTCGATGCGGAACATGGGGCAGTTGTCGAAGTAGTCGCAGAAATCCTGCTCCCGCACAGTGGCGCTCATCAGGATCACCTTCAGTTCGGGTCTATGCGGCAGGATGACCTTGAGCAGCCCCATCAATAGATCAGTTTCCACGCTACGTTCGTGGATTTCGTCCAAGATCAAGACGCTTAGATTGTGCATCAGTGGATCCGATTGCAGCTGCTGCAGCAGAACTCCCGTGGTGCAGTACGTTATGGAGGCTCTGTCGCGGGGCTTCCTGCTCTCCAGCCGGATCTGGTAGCCCACCGAGTTGCCCAGACTTTCGCTGCGCTCGTAACTAACCCACTCGGCAATGGTTATGGCCGAGATCCTTCGTGGCTGCGTGCAGACGATGCGGCACGACGAGGCGCAGCCCCGGGAAATGGCGTCGTCCAGGAGGATTTGAGGCACCTGCGTGGTCTTGCCACATCCAGTGCTGCCCACAATCAGGATAACCTGGTTTTGCCGCACTGCCTGGACAATTTCCTCGGCGTATTTCATGGTGGGAAGCTTTTGTCGCGCCGCCAGACGTTTCTTGGCACTCTCCTCCAGCTGCCGTTGCTCCAGCTCCTGCTGCAACTTCTCGTCCAGCTTGGAATTGACGTAGTCCAGGCCCTCGTTCTTCTCCTTGGTCTCCGCCACGAATTCCTCAAAGTTTACGCTCAAAAGATGCCGGAACTGCTGCTTGAACTGGGCGTCCACATCGCGGTTTTCCCTGGCCGGTGCTCGGCTGTAGTCCGCCATGAACTCCTTGACGCGCGCGAGGACGCCACCGGGAACGCTGACATTGCAGCCCAGGCGGATTTGCGGCTCCTCATCCTCGCCGCGTTCCTTCTTTCGCTGCCGGGCAAGATTGCGGTAGTAGAGGCCGATGTCCTTGCCCCTGAGACCCGGGGGACGGTTGCCCTTGCGGGCGTAGGAGCCGGAGGAGTCCCTGTCACGCTGCATCCTATTTAATTTGGGCACATGTCCAGGAGATTTAAGAATCCCAAGGAGAAATCAACAAAATCTTCTAGAGTTGTCGGCCTGTCAAAATTCGCAGACCAGCTGACGGATAAGCAGGGGTTGCAACCAATATTGTGGAGTACCTAGATACGTGTACCTAGGTAAAATAAATACCTAGGTACGACTTAAAAAAACGTTGTAAATTGCAGACACGGTGTAGATTAATTTTGCATTTATCAATCAAATTAACGTATAAAAATAAGCAATTAAATTTAATTGAGATAATCTTAAACCACTTGGACTTTTATTTCAACCTAAAAATACTAATTTGAAATTATTTGATCCTTGTATTTTTACTTTTTGGCAATCAATTTACACCAAAGAGAATATAAATAATATAATATCTTTGTTTACACTAATGCTGACCCATTTTTAACATATTCTCTTATATTCTCTAAAAGAATACTTCAAAGGGTTGAATAATTAAATTCTAAAATCGATAACTGATGCAGAAAAGCCTATTTTTAATTTGCAAATTCAGGATGCTTAATATATTTGAAAAAATTGGTTTGAGCCTTGGCTAGATTCGAGTACAAGGTATATTTTAGTGCGTTCTGTGCAAGACCCGTGGTATGTTTGAACGATCCAATAACGGTCACATTAATTCCGATCAACTCAACGCGCTGTGCAAATCGAATCGCTTGTGCCAAGATTTTATGTTTTTTGCGATTAACGGCCGAAAAGATCCTACGATCTGTATGCCAAGTGGCCAATAACGAAGACGCCAAGTGTTTCCACTGCAAAAAAGCCGGATCGCCGAACGTATTTCATGTGTGATTCTCGGCTGAAGAGCAACAAGTGGCCAAAAGCAGCAACTAAATGAGTACGATATAATACACTGAGAGAAAAACCGAGACGAACTGTTTGAAGCGGTGCGCGCAGCTTGTTTTTGTGCCGAGCGTCGCGCAATAAAACAAACAAAAAGCCAGAGACCAAAAACAACAACCACAACAAAAGCCGTTTGATCGCGAGATTGTGTGTGTGCTCGAGTGTGCCTGTGTGAGAGTGGCAAGCCATTATTTTTCTGGTCTTATGACGTAAACCACCGAAAAAAAATCAAAAGTGAGCAGGCGACACAGATATCAAAACGAAGGTGAGCGCATTTTTACCAATTCTCGCTTCGTTTCTTGGAATTCCAGCGGTTATTAGACGTTTTTATACTTGTTTACATTTTCGCAGTTGCAGCATACGCACACACACTAACGCTTGTTGGTGTAAGGGGTAAGGAGAGAGGGGGAGAAAGGAGGGAAAGAGATGCAGTGCATGTAAACAAAATAGAGAAAGAGGCAATTGCTGTAAATTCTTTGGCAAAAGAAATCTTGTTGAAAGCATTTCCTCCGCACATGCTTATGTATGTATTAGCGACCTGAAAAGAAATTGTTGCCCTGCTTGAACTTGTCGCTCCACACTTTACCCTCCTCTTCCTCCACCTCCTCCTTCTTAGCCCCTTCCCACACACATACCACTCCATTCACAATTGGCCTTTTGCGGAGTCACAATAAATATTAAATTTGATTTCTCTAGCCGACCATTGTGAATGATTTGCCGACAGTTGGCACGCCCATTCGCCACACTTGCAAAAAAAAGTCCTTTCTAATTAAAATTCCTCTTTAGCACGGTTATTATACAACCTTGCTTGATTTTAATGAACTTTGAAACAATGGATTTTAAAAATATTCTTGTTTTTTATTATATTATAATTATTAAAACAATATAATTAATAAACCTATTAAATCAAACTCTACATTTTTACACCTTTCATTTTTATGTATTATCTTCCACTAAAAAACTTATGTAGTTTAAAATTTTTAATTAATAAATAATTGGTTCTGGTACATAAATTATTCGACATATTGTTTATGATTAAGAAGTATTGCATTTTTTTAACTTTTTTGAATATTTTCCAATTCAAAACTTTTGCCATAGTTAACGACGATTAAAAATATTTATTGAACATACAACTTAAAATAAAAAATGTTATAATTTTTTTGGGAGTATACAACAGTTAGTTTTAGGTCCTAAACAGTTTTTAAATAAGAAAAATGCTTTTTTAAAATAAACATAACGGCGAATTAATGAATCCTCATTTTTTTGAGAGTGGGAAGCTCAGTTAAATAAAGTCATAATTGTTTTCTCTGTGACAGGCAAGAACCATCCGCAAAACCTGTTGCTCGTTTGCCTTTTTTATTTTGCTGTTTTCTACCTCTCCAGCTGCTGTTTGCTGGCCGCTTTGATTCCATTAGTGATTCATTAGATGCGTTGGCCAAAGCTAACGCAAAAAGCTAAAGTGTGTTCCCACCGCATCCTTCAATAGAAGCCAATTCAAATGCTAACGGCCTGCATTTCAGCCTGGCCAAATGAATCACTCAATAACCATATATTTTAACCGTTCTCTCTCTCTCGTTTTGTTTGGTTCTCTACTTGGCTCTCCGAATTTCGTGCTATTTCCTATTTTGGATTGCCGCGATAATCACATCATTTTGTAAATTTAGTGCGCATTATTAATGAATTTTTCTAATTTGTTTTGGTTTATCTTTGAGTTTTTTGTTTATGATTTTAATCACCCGTTTTCACGCTTCGAATAGTTTGGAAAGCACAGTGGTCGCTTTCTAAACTTGAAAATGAACATAAATGATCCCATAATATTCTAAACTTTACTTTACCCTTTAAAGATTAAAATTTAACTATTAAATGTTTAATATTTTCTTAATCTTTAGAACTATAATTTTCAGTGCTTTAAATTGATTTTATTTAATTACGTAATATTAAAAGTTTTCAACCCTCTTGACCTGATAAATAATATATGTTAATTTACAATTTTAATGTAATTCAAAGTTGTATAACAATTTAACATTTTGGGGAACCACTGTATTGGGGCCTCCTTCCCTTTATTATGTACGTGTTAATTGAAAATTCCACACTCCGTTGAGGCTGAATCGACATAATGGGCACCCCAGATAATTGTAAATAAACCAAAGCTGATAATGATCGACCACCTACCATCCATCCATCGATCAGATGCATTCGTTGGAAACCCATCAGAAATCGCGGTCTGTTCAGTTCTCGAACAGTTGTAAACAAAGAACAGCTGTGCAAGTTGTCTCCCCAAAAATATTAAAAACTGCGCATGTCTCTAAAAATCTTTAGTGGCCTTTGTTTAGTTTTCGTTTAGTTCTCCACCGAAATGCGTCTCAAAAAGCTGGGGTTAGGTTTTATTCCTTTAACAAATTGTAATGCGAAATAAGCTCTATTTATGTATTTTATTCTTTGCAGAATGTCTCGACACGAGAAAACGAAGTCTACGGGGGGCGGCATCTTGGATAGCCTCTTCGGGAGGCCCTCGAAGTCCAAAGGTGGAACAGTCAGCAGTGGAACCCTAACCCATGGAGGACGACCCGCATCAACGGATAATGTTGTTGTGCCGGGCGTTGAGGATTTTGAGCAGTATATCCAGCAGCTGACCGTTGCGGAGCTGGATGCAAAATTCCTGGAGATCATAGAGGATATGAATATACCCAAGGATAAGAGGGAGCCCCTGTTGGCCAAATCGAAGGAGGAGCGCCAAAAGATGATTATGTGGCACTTGAAAGGTAATGATTATATTGAAACAGTTAGCACGTCGATGTTTTTATACCCTTTCTGTAATCAAAGATTTTAATTCAGATTTTGGTTAAAAAGCTGTTAAAAATATAATTAAATTATGATCATTTAAAAAGGCAACACGTTTTAAAGTTTAAAATTTGCCTTGAAATACTGATTCATAACATCTATACCTAGACTATATACTATTCTGATTACCAACATTATAACACCTCATGCAAGGGTATATAAAACAGCAGACAATCGATTTTCGTGCCACTAAGTTGGATGACTTTTTACACTTCTTTGTTTTTGCCGTATTCCCGGGTAAATTGCATTCCATTTCTGATAAGATTAGCAGGTAACGGTACGTGTATCTGTGTGCTTTTCCTTTATCGGTGTGTGCGTGTGTCTGCGAATTTTCGCTTTCTGTTTGCTTACCATTTTTTTTAGTTGCCAATTTGCTTTGTGCCCATATTCGATTCTATTTGTTTTCGTATCACATACCGCTATTCACGTTTTTAATTTGTTGACCATTATTCGTATTGATATATGTGATGTCAACGATCTTTTAGATAAGTGCAAAAATACGTTCTTAAGTGGCTAAAACTTAAAATTTTCAAGAAGAAGCTCAGAAAGATTTTAGAGTAGAAAGCGAGGTACACGAAGTGGGGAGTTATAAGACAGAAGATAGGGTAGATATTTAAGTACCAGTATCCAAACACCTTTTATATATAAAGAATGATTAACTTCAAAAATTATAATTATTAAAATTACTTTTTATTCAGCTTTGCTAATGGGTGATTAATTTACCACTGTGATTACTGATTCAACATTCTCATCGTATTGCTGATAAAGACAGCTCATAGAAATTCGGTTAGAATTTTTGGGAAACCCCGATATATGTTGTATATTTTTTAAGTTTACTCATTCATTTATTTTTGTAGAAAGATAAGTACTGGTAGTAATGTACAGTAGAGTACTACGAAGTAATTATCACTGTACCACATCGCCAGCTATATCTTGAGCACATTTCAATGCTAACTCAGCTTTCAGCTTTATTCTTTGCGTTTCGCTCCAGTTAATTCCCCATCGGCCCATGGCCCATGGTCCATTATCAGTCTTGAAAAGTGTAGATTCAAAGTTTCTCTTATCGTTTGTAACGGTTAATTGCGCCACAACCTCGGACTATCTTCTCCCCCATTTTATCAAGTAATACCAAGTGCTATATATGTACATAAGTAGAATACGACGAATGCGTGACAAAAGTCGAGCGGCAAAAAATGAGAATGCGAAGACATTGAATTTTCCTTTACCATGCATATTATACAATTTAAATTACGTCAAGTGGCAGTGAGAAAATGATTTTTGTTGTATAAGCAAGTGCATTGCGAATGCGAGAAAGAGATAGACTAGTAGAAGGCAAATGTACACCGAAAATGATTTTGCTAAATTTATATTTTTAAC